CCTGCGCCGCGTCCCGGAAAGCCTTTCTGCGCGGTCTCCTTTGTCCCGCGTCTCCGGGAGCGCTGCTCTTCCTTACCGATGCCAGAGTGCCTTGGAAGACAGACGCAGTGTTCTCTTTCTACCGCCGATTTTTTAAAAAATAAAATTAACGCTGTGAGTTTCCCCTAAAGGCTAGAATTCCGCGCGAAGCTCCGCCCTCCCGCACAGCAGTACCTCTAAGCTTACGCACCGCCTCCAGGCCCAGCACCGCCTCCAGGCGAGCGCGCAAGCGCGGGACTCCCGGGCTCCGGCCCAGACCCGGTATAACTGCGCCTGCGCCAAACAGCGCGCCGCGCCTAAGCGCGAATTCGCGCCCGCCAATCAGAGCGCACGATGGTCCTCGCTTCCCGCCCACTAACCGGCCAACGAATCGGCTGCCCCGGCGCGCGGTCAGCGGCGGATCCAAAGAGGAAAGACGGCTTAGGGGCGAGTGAGCTGGAAGCGGCGCCGGGAGGATGGAGGCGGCGGCGACCGCGGCGGAGGCTGCAGCGCGAGAGTAAGTGTCTGCCGCCAGGCTCCGGGGGGGCGGGCCGGCGTGGGTCCCCCGGGCCCCCGAGTGCAGGTGACAGTTCCCTGGACCCCTTACGGCTGTGGGAGTGACCCTGGCCCCGGCCCCGGCCCTAGGGTGAGATGCCTCGTCTCTCCGCGGTTACGGCCGAGGGCGGACTGGACGCCCCGCGCTCCCCGCGCGTGCACACCTCCGGGGGCGTCCCTCCGCCCGTCCCGTCTTCGCGGGGTGCACCACCCCCACCTCCAGGAGACGTCCTGGAAGGGCCGTTTCATCCGTGTCCGCCCCGCCCCAAGCACCCTCCGGGCGGGTCACTTTATCTCGGTCCTGCCGCCCGGTGGGCCGCTCCAGGCCCTAACAAGGAGGATCGGAGAGCCTGGACCCAGGCCTCCAGCGCCCCGTCCTGAGCCCCTCCCCCCCGTTCCGAGATTCTGCCCCAAGGCCAGCGCTCTGCCTGGAGGCCACCCCACTGCCCATCCGTTTTGCCCTTTTTTCCTTTCCCTGTACATTTCCCTTGACGCTCCAGGGAAACACTCCACCCCACGCTGCTTACCCCCCTGACCCTGCTTATGTTCCCTCGTGGCGCTCACTACCTCCGTATGCCCCCCACACGCATGCCCTTCCCGGTCCCAGGTGGGCCTTCAGGTCTGCGTGTAGATAGCGGTCAGACAAGACTCTCAGCACTGACATGTAGTAGGTATGTGCATGTGCACACAAGTTCTCCAGAGCTAGCACCCCAGGAGTCTGCAGTTTCCCGTTTCCTTGCCCCCTGCAGGGCCCTGGACAAGCTGACGGGCATCCTGGAGCCCACGGGCCTGCAGGAGGAGGCTGAGCTGCCCGGGCAGATCCTGGCCGAGTTTGTGACGGTATGTTCAACGTGGGAGTCAGTTTTTCATAAGCCAGGGACTCTCCTGGGTCCTTCAGTTGAGATACTGGGCGGCACTGATGGTGAGCAGACTGGAAGGCAGCCTTGTTGGCCTCCAGTACAAGGAGGTAAGGATGTTCCCTGCCTCTCCCCTCCCTCTGAACAGGATTCCCGGAAGAAAGACAAGCTGCTCTGCAGCCAGCTTCAGGTAGTAGACTTCCTGCAGAACTTTTTGGCACAGGAGGACATTGTCCAGGGCCTGGACCCCTTGGCTTCTGAAGACACGAGCCGTGAGTAGTCAGGGGGTTGGGATAGGGACTGCCCTGAGTGGGGAAGGAGGGGAAGTGTTAGGTAGGTCAGCAATATAGCTGGTGGGAAAGACTGAGGCCCCAATATTTCAGGCTAGCAGGCCAGCCTTTACTCAAGTCCTCATTCTGGTGGCTCATCTCAGGACAGAAGGCAATTGCAGCCAAGGAGCAATGGAAAGAGCTGAAGGCTACCTACCAAGAACACGTGGAGGCCATCACAAGGGCCCTGACCCACACCCTGCCCAAGATGGAGGAGGCCCAAAGGAAGCAGGCACAGCTCCAGGAAGCCCTTGATCAGCTCCAGGCCAAGGTGCACCCAGGGTGAGGGGAGGGAAGGACATTCAGAGAGGTAGAGGGAAAAGGTGAGCATGCTATGTTGGACTTAGTGGCCACATCCCAAAATGCAACCAGAAAAATAGACCTCCTCACCGTGTCCCCCCTCTTTTGTTTACCTGCAGAAGCAAGTGGCCATGGAGAAACTCAGAGCAGCCCAGAAGCAGTGGCAGCTGCAACAGGTGGGCCCACGCCCCTAGGAAAGTATCCCCTTCTAGCACCATGCTATTGCATACACTAAGCCCAGGGCCTGGGGAAGCTTCACCTCCTTTCTTTCTGTGAGGTGTTACAGGATGTAGAGGTACCAACATGGACTTGAACCTTAGCATCACTGTTTACAGCTATGACCTTGGGCAATCACCTAACTTTCTGCACCTCTTTCATCTGTGAAATGGAAGCAATATTAGCATCTACCTGAAAAAAGTTGTCAAAATGATTAAACAATTAATACAACAAGCGCTTAAAATGTGTCTGGCACATAGCAAACTAAGTAAATGTTATCATCACCTTTGTGCCTTCTAGACTGAAAGGGTTAGGGGAACGGCTGTAAGACCTCAGCCTCTCATGAGCCATGTCTGCATTCTCACTCCTGGCAGGAGAAGCGACTCCAGCATTTGGCAGAAGTTTCTGCAGAGGTGAGGCAGCGCCTGATAGGAACTCAGCAGGAGCTTGAGCAGCTGTATCAGGAACTTGGAACTCTGGAGCAGCAAGCAGGACAGGAGCGGGACAAGCTGCAGAGGTAAGACTGGGTGCATGGGCTGCAGGCCCAGGATGGTCCAGCTGATGTTCCTGCCTTCACACTCACCTCTTTTTTTCAGGCACCAGACCTTCCTCCAACTGCTGAACACCTTACAGGGTAAGCTGCAATTCCCTGAGACAGAGGCAGAGCTACCACACCATTCGGATCTTCTTAAGGATAATCCCCAGCAGCTGACCCAGCCCCAGGAGCAGACCACTGGGGATACCATAGGAAGACATGAGGGTGTGTCCTCCAAGGTGTGTGAGAGATGGGACAGATGGGCAGGGAGGTAGAGGGAGAATCTGGGAGATGAGCCTTACCCACTGGTCATACCATGTCTCCTCAAGGCTGATGGCCTACTAGCTACTGCAATTGCAAGCTTGTCGTGACTTCCTGGGGGACAGCAACATGGGAAAGATCCTAGGTTAGGTAAGGCTCCAACCCAGGGCCTTGTGTTTCTGGACCTTGGGATTGGAAGGAGGGCACTGGTTGGCCTGTCTGTATGAGCTCGGCTGTTCATGGTGTTGGTGTTGTGGAAAGTGGGGCGGAGCAAGGAGTTTGTCTTAAGGTTGAGGGTTAGCGCCCCCCCACCCCCCATGCCCAACCTACCCTGCTCTAACCCCGCTTACTTGCTTACTTTTCCCCAACTCCCTTGCCCCGCCCTTGTTGCAGGTGAATTGTGAACTCCTGAGTACATCCTGATTTCTGACCAAGACCCAGCTGGGGGCAGGCTCTGGATTCTATTGATTAAAAGCCCTGGAGCTCTCTCAGTTGCCTGTTTGTCTATTTATCGTCATATGTTGGTGGGAAGAGCCACATTCAAAGGCCAACAACATGACAAGTGCTAGGACTGGTGTGAATTTAGAGGGTACAGATGGGTAGGGGGCCCTGGCCTGGGGTCTCAGGAGTTGTTTACCCAAATCAATGTGATGCAAACATGCTGAGATTAATTTGGGGAGGAGAATGCTTTATGCAGGTGGTTAGATATGGGAAGATCATTTTAATCACTGGTCTGAATGTTTATTGAAGCCCTGCTATGAGCCAGCCCTCTTGCTGTGAACTGGCACTACCAGTCCCTGGCCCTGTGGGACATAATGAGCATGAACAAATAACAGATCAATAAGATGATTTCAGAGTGTGGTAAAACAGGGCAGCAAGCTAAAACAGGAACGTGGTAAAGAGCAGTACTGAGAGAATATAAAGTAGAATATATATATATCTATATATCTATCTGTACTGGCCTGTGACTGTGAGTTAGCATTTCCATTTGTGTGTGTGTTTCTGTATCTGGGGTTTTTTGTTGTTTTCCAATTACAGTTTACATTCAATACTATTCTGTATTAGTTTTGTCTGTACAGCGTAGTGGCTAGACAATCTTGTACTTTACAGAGTGTTCCTGCCTGATATTTCAAGTATCTGTCTGGCCCCATACATAGTTATTACAGTATTATTGTATTTGTTGCTTTCAGTCTCCATTCCTCTGTGGATCTGTCACTGGGTGTGTGGGCATTGGGGTCACTGCTGTGTTTGAGAGATTGCATCCCTGGTTGGGGATGTGGGAACTGCTATCTAAGAGAGAAAGCTGGTGGAAAACTCATTCTCCATTTGTGTGAGAAAGACTTACATGCTTTTGAGGAAGAGACACAGGGACCCTTTGTTTTTGGTGAGAGAGTTTCAAGAAATGTTGGTCCTTCTTCTATCTCAGATGGGGATGCCCCCTCTCAGGTGGCGATTGTGATCCCTGCCATGCTGATGGTTTGCTCTGCTTTTGTGAGGTGTCCCTAGTTTCTCCCTCATATTGTTTTAAATGAGCTGGCCCTGTTTTTTTTATGTATGGAATAGGGGAGATAATCAGAGGTCTTTGAGGGCCTGCTTCACAACTGACCAAGGGGTCAGTGAGGATTGAGGGTAATCCTTTAGGGAGCACTCAAATACCCAGAGAGCCTTCCTCAGTCTACCCCTCCCACGTGGTCCCTGCTGCAGCTTTTTTGCACCCCAAATAGTCCCATACTTCCCTCTCCTCCTATGGGGTAGGCTCCCTCCCACTACAGTCTGGCGTCTTTTTCTAGTCTCATATACTCTGAAATTTTTATCATACAAAGGAGAGAGCAAGAATTTATCCACCCTGGGGAAGGAGTGCCTACCAAAGGACACTGGGTATGGTTTGGGATGATGTGGAGTCTCCCATCGTTGCATACGTGGTGGCTAACACAAAGTCAGCAGCAAAGGGAAGACTCCCATGGAGCTCACCAGGCTGGGGTGAGGGATTATATACTGAGATATAAGCCAGGGGACAGGGAAGGAGATTAGACAAATGTATAGTAATCAAACTTAGAGGTCTATAAAACTGCTAGGAACCAGATTTCTCTTGAGGAGTATGGCATGAGTCCATTCACATTGAGGCCAAAGAGGAGTGGAGGTTTGAATATCTGTTTTGTTCAAATCTGAATTGCTGATGTGGCTGGAGCCTCGAGTTGGGCAGAAGTGTTTTGACTGACAAGCTCAGGAATTAGGATTTATTTTCAGATAAAAATCAGATTTCAGCTTCCAGCTGTTCGCAGTCCCCTCCCAGGTTCCCCTGAAGACTGTCCTTTTCCTCATTCATTGATACTTGCTCAGGTAGACATGTGCAAGAGGGGGACCTACCCTTGGAAAACTGATTTCTTACACAGACATGGAGACGGGCGAGTCCAGTGACTGCAAAGGCCCTGCTGCCTGCCAAAGACTTTCTCTCCCTTTTTCCATCCGACGGAGGGACCCAGAAACCAGTGAAGAGAGCAGGGGGATGGAGGCTAGCCAGTGTGTCAGCATAGGCAAGACACTGTTGCTCCATCCTTAAAGCGAAGGTTAAGCTTACTCCATTAAATGAATAGGAAATCTTTCCTATTTTCTGTAAGAGTAATGTTTTCCTTTTTAGACATAGTGATTTTCTTTTATAGTGGAGCATTCTTTTGCTTACTCTAGTTTTATTTCACATTTTCTAGGTATTGTCATATATTTCTAGGAACTTTTTATGTCTAATTTTTTAAGTTTATTGATATGAAGTTGTTATAATCTTTTAATATCTGCAGCCTGTTTTAAGATGGCCTAATGTTATATTCCTGTTTTTTGTGTGTGTGCTGCATCTATTCCTTGATCTACCTTTTCACATATTCATTCATTTTTAAATATTCAAAGATTGTCTTTTGTGATTTGCTATTGTCACACACACACACACACACACACACTCTCCTGGAAAGCAGACAGAATTAAGTAAGATAACCATATTTCCATGGAAAAATAAAACTCAGGAAATAAAAATCCTTATCTATGAGGAGATAAATTGTCTATATTACTGGTTGTTCATGGAACTCACATAGCGAAGCTATATTTCCTACCCTCTTTTGGAGTTAGATGACCCCATTGTAAGGGGACAGAAATGATGTGTGCTACTTTCAAGCCTGGCTCATGAAACCCTCCCGCATACCACCTTCTATTTGTCTCTGACTTCTGGCTAAGTGGAGGGGACACTGAAGATCTTGAAGAAAGTAGACACACAAAATTGAGGGAGCATGGGTCCTTGTCACTTGGAAGAAAACAGCTTGATTAAGGACAACTGTGTTGGACCATGTCGTGAGAAAGGAATAGTTTTATATTATATGAAGCCATTGAAACACTGAGGTTGTTAACCTCTGATAGCTTAAACCTTCTGGATCCAATTCTGGTTTCTCCAAGCAAATATTTCTGCAATACCTCCTTTGACCTTTTATGACAATAACTAAACATTTGTTGAACTGGAAAAAGCCACTTCTCAAAGGAGCATCTTAAGTAAAAAGAAAAAAGAAAAATTGTACACTGCAAATGGAATTTTGGTCAAAAGCGGGGCTAGTAGGTTCATTGAATTCCCTATTTCCTACACCAAAGATGCAAAAATATTACCATACTGAAGACATCTGTCTTGAAAAAAGTGATTGCTGATATGTTTATAACTTAAAGCCTATAATAAATTATAACATATTCCTATGTTCTTAGGAATAACTGAACAGTAAATCATTTTGCCTCACACTTAGAAAGTTTATAAACCCTCTTAACATGAGTTGTAAAATGACTAATGAATTTTCCCTATACTGCCCCCTCTTCTAAACCCCAGACAAACATTTTGTTTGGGAGGTTTGTAATCTGCTCAGCTTGCGCCTGTAAGTCAGGGAATCTGCTGAATGTTTCTCTGAGTTTGAAATGTTTTGTCTGTCTCTGGGAGATTTGTTCACTCAGCTGCTGCACTCTTTGCTGAGTCATTTCATTATGCACATTCATGTTAGTGGTCTCCCCATTTTCCCTTCTCACATCACTTGCAGTACTTTATCTCTTACCTATTTGTTAATCTAGCCTGAGGAATTTATAAAAAGGTGAATGAATCACCATCATAACTGGTTCTCAAAATTTGTTTTTAAAAAGCACTTGCAGTCTCACAACTTAGTGTTATTTAGGATCCAAGTGTTCTTGAAGAATTCATGCTTCCATAAGAAAGTGTTGTTTTTTTTAAGGCTACAGTGATTTTCTTTTAACTGCTTTCTGATTTACAGAAGTCATATGCCATTTTTTACATTTTAACATTTACTTTCCCCACCCCCTCTTTACAGTCACACCTTTTCCTTCCCCTCAATCAAACCTGGGCAGCTGGATGATGTTTAGGATGATGAGGTTTGAAGATGGCTGCTTCTCTGCTTTTTCTTCCCTGAATTCATTGGTGACATTTTGCCAATAAACAACATCTAATTATCTTTTTAAGTTAAAGTAGTAAACCTCAGACAATTTCCATCTTTATGTACAATTAATAAAAGTGAAAATGTTGATTTTCAACATTATGGTGTTTCAGCCTAACCTCTAAGTGTCACAAGAGAAGCAAATGCAAGAAAAACTAAATAAATGTTTTGATTGCATCCTGTTTGCACTCTCATTTCTGTTGTTTTCATAATAGTTTAATGGGGTAGGTATTTATCAGCTGTTAGAAATTATTTTATAGACAGTAAATCTATTGCAACTTTATAATTATTATCTTAAAAATATGAAATATATTTGCAGTACTTTGACAGACCTTTAAAAGGCAGTGTGCTTCTCACAGCTATCTTTGGCTCATCTCAAAAGCAAAGAGCCAAGATTTGCTCTTCCGTGTTTTTGCACCCTGAGCATGCATTCCACCTGGCACTCCCCATATTTTATGCAAAGTACTGTTAACATTTCTAATTTTGTGCTAGCACTTTGTCTTTTTTATTCATGATTATTACTACAAAATACAGTGCTTACTACGTGATTGGTATTAAAGAATTCTTTTTCCTTTTTCTCCTCATATCTTCACTATGTCAAGATACATTTAAAAATTGCAAATGAATTGCAAATGAGTGAGGGGGGCTTGTTTCACGCTACAGTACAACATCTTGAAATATATAGATGTTGCAATTATTTTATTGTAGAAAGACATACATAACAAAACTTACCATTTTAACCATTTGTAAGTCTACAGTTCAGTAGCACTAAGTACATTCATGTTGTTGCACAGACATCAGCAGTATCCATCTCCAGAGCTTTCTCATCTTCCCAAACTGAAACTCTGTACCCATTAAACAATAACTCCTCTCTCCCCCGACCCCTGACCACCACCTTTCTAATTTCTATCTCTCTGAATTTGACTACTGTAGGTACCTCGTATAGGTGGAGTGGTATAATATTGGTTCCTTTGGGACTGGCTTCTAATAGCACAGTGTTTCTAATATGCATTTATGTTGCAGT